ATTTCCTGGCTGCTGGTGCCGCGAGTGTTGACCATGGAGCTGAGCAAACTGAAGCTCTGAATAATCTCAATCTCTTTGCCGTCCATCCTGATGCTACCAATTGGTCCAGTGGTGAGAATCTTTGTCTTCTTGACATTGAGCCTCAGGCAGGAATTTATAAATTAGTTGAAAATAAAACCTCGTACCATTTGTCTCTATTTCCCGGCTAAAATTCTAGGAATGAATATTTATGGTGTTCCTGTATTTTCTTTTGAGAAATGTAATATAAATGTTCCTTAACTATATTTTGCAGTCTGCCTGCAGACAAGTTATGCTGGCTATGATTGGTTTATATCTTCTCTGTTTCTGATAATGTTGGGGGACAAGGAGAAAACATTCCAGTTTCTTCAGCAGTTTTCTCGGCTTCTGGCATCTGCTTTCCTTTGGTTGCCAAGACTCCATATTTCTGTAAGACTTTTTAGTCTGTCTTTGAAGAATCTTTGGAAATTTTAAGGAAAATCGTATTTAAACTTAACTAAGATCTTATTGTTATATTGTTTGAAGAGAGCACAATGTTCATTTGTATTCATTTTATAACAGATGAGTTGTGACCGAGTTTTCTTTGCAAATATAGATTTCACATTATCTCAAGTACTTTGTATTTTAGCGAGTGGCAACTGAATGAAAGATTAATGACAGAAACAATCTGAATGGGTCATTGAGTAATTTATGTTAGTTAAATTCTCTGTGTAAAAGAAAAATAACTATTGGATGAGTATTTCTTTTTACTCCTGCTTTGCTAAAGTCTTTTGATAGTTATAATTTTAGTATGAAAAAATAATTCACTGAGTTTGTTAGTTGCCAGTTACTCAGTTCCAACTCATGGCTAAAAAAGCAGAGCAAAACCAGTAAGTAGACAGACAGACAAATAGACTTGACTAATGTGGTGTACTAAATGTTTTCTGTTTCCATAATATGACAGACGTTAGTTAGGGTTAAATGCATCCTCCATCTTCACATGTGGAGCAACTATCTTCTATATGAACTTTACAGTTCTTCCTTTAAAGTTTTCCTGGACATGTCATATACAGACCTGAAAATGACATGATGCCCAAGGATATGCTGAAGGAACTGGAGGGTGTCTGTGTGGAGTTAGGATAAAATGCTTCCTACATATTTTTTATAATATGTAATTGTGATAAGAACAATAAAGTTTTTAAGATATAGTATCAAGGAATGTAGTAAATACTGATATTTTATTAATAATTTTATTAATAATGCCTAGAATAGCTATACATATAGTTCCTAAATAGCTATACATAGCTATACATATAGTTCCTAAATAGGAATTTACAGCTCTTACCTTCATAATGAGTGACTGGAATACAGAAGTTGGGAACAGAGAAGAAGGATCAGCAGTTAGAAATCATGGACTTGGTAACAGAAATGAAGCTGGAGATAGAATGATAGATTTTTGCACAATCAACCACTTAGTCATTGTCAATATGTTTTAAGAAGAAACATAAATGCAGGTTATACTCATTGATTTCACCTGTTGGTATGCATAGGCATCAAATCTATTAGATTTGTGGAAAGAATCTTTGGAGAAACTCCATAACAGCTGTGAAAACTAGGCCAAGTGCTGATTGTGGAACAGATCACCAACTACTCACATACAAGTTCAAGCTGAAGCTGTAGAAATGAAATCAAGTCCACAGGAACCAAAATGTGACCTTGAGTCTGTCCCACCTGAATTTCAAAACCAAATCAGGAACAGGTTTGAGGCCTGGAACACTAATGAGTGAAGACCGGACAAGCTGTGGGAGGATATCAAGAATATCATCCAGGAGTGAATGTGGTGAGAAAGGAACTCTTATGCATTGTTGGTGGGATTGTAAGATGGTACAACCATTCTGTAAGGCAGTTTGACACTTCCTCAAACAGCTGAACATAGAAATTCCATATGACCTAGCTATTCCACTGCTTGTAATATACCCTGAGAAAATGAGAACTGAGGCACAAATGGAGATTTGTACACCAGTGTTATAGCAGCATTATTCACCATCGCAAGAACATGGATACAGCCCAGATGTCAAACCACAAATGAATGTGTTGAGATATTATTGTACATTCACACAACAGAATACTATGCAGCACACAGGAGCAATGATACTATAAATTACTACCTAACTTCGGAGGGACTGGAGAGCATTATGCTGAGGTAACTAACTCAGACCCACAAGGACAAATACTGTATAAAACCATCATCGTAGAATGAGTATGAGAGGGGTGGGAGAGGTTGGAAGCAGAGGGATGAGGATTTGCAGAGGCGCAGGGATTAATTATGAGATTGCACAGTTTGATTGAGGGGAAATTGAAAAAATTCGTTCTTAAAAACAATGCATTCAAATGATGTAAATAAACTAGTATACCTTAAAGAAAAATATCATCCAAGAAGAATGCAAAGGGTCATTACAAAGACAGATGAGGAAGAAAAGACTGAGGTGACTATCAGAAGAGATTCTGAATAGGGAAGCCAAAGCAAAGCAAAGAAATCAAGATTCTGCTGCAGATTAACCAAAAATGACTGGAACAGAACACCAATAGAGAATTGATTATAGTGCAAGCTGGGTTTAGAAGACACTGTAGTACAAGGGGTATTATAGCTAATGTTAGATGGGTCTTGGCTGAAAGCAGGGAGTACCAGAGGAATGTCTGTCTGTTGTTCATTGACTATGCAAAGGCATTTGACTATGTGGATCACAACAAACTGTGGCTGACTTGAGAAGAATGGGAATCCCAGAATATTTCATTGTGCTAATGAAAAGCCTATACTTGGCCCAGGAGGCATTAATCAGAACAGAGCAAGGAAACACTGCATTGTTCAAAATAGGGACGATGTATGCCAGGGATGTGTCCTTTCTCCATATCTTTTAAATCTGTATGTGGAACAGATTATCTGGGAAGCTGGATTTAAGAGGAGAAATGTGTCATCAGAATTGGAGGTAGACTTATCAACTACCTATGCTACGCAGATGACATAACCCTGCTTGCTGAAACTGAGGAGGACCTGAAGCACTTGCTGCAGAAGGTCAAGGTTCAATATGAATTGAAGCTCAACATCACGAAAACAAAGATTCTCACCACTGGGCCAAGGGCTTTATCATGATAGATGGTGAAGAGATCAAGATTGTTAACAGCTTATTTTGTTTGGCTCCAAAATCAATCCTCTTGGTACTCACAGCCAGGAAATTAAAAGATGAATTACATTGGGAAATTCTGCTGTTAGAGACCTCTCCGAAGTACTGAAAATCAATGATGTCAGTCTGGAGACTAAGGTGTGTCTGATCTACTATGCATCATAAAGATGGACAGGGATGATAGAAGGAGAATTGATGCCTTTGCGCTCTGGTGCTGGAGAAGAGTATCGAATATATCATGGACTGCTAGGAGAACAAACAAGTTCGTCCTAGAGAGGGTGAAATCAGGCTGCTCCTTGGAGGCAAGGATTTTCAAGCTTCATCTCATATACTGTGGCCATGTTGCAAAGCAGGACCAGTCCTTGGAAAGGGATGTCATTCTTGGGAGTGTGTAAGGACAGCACAAGAGAGGAAGACCCTCAATAAGATGGATTGGTTCCGTGACTGGGGTAATGAGGGTGTGTGTTTGAAAGACAATAGTATTGGTACTGGATAAAGCGGGGTTCAGGGCTCTAGTACAAGAGGTAACTATGAGACGCAGGTGACTCGATGGCAAAACCTTCACTGCAGTTATAAGAAAGGAAATGGTAAACAAGTTTACTGGATTTTCTCGTCTTTGGAAGTATTTTCTGCCATTGATTTCCCCAGTAATAAAAAACATCAGTCAATTTCTTCACTGCTACTTTTGTGGGAGTTGATTGTAGATCCAAGTGAAGTGAAATCCTTGGCCGCTTTATTGTGATCTTGTATATTGTTCTATAGGGAACAACAACAACAACATATTGTTCTAGTTGTGCAGATTTTTGTCTTCTTCATATTGAGGCATAATCCATTCCGTCTATACATTAATTAGTGAAATACATTATATATTTCACAAAAGAAATGGGAAAATATGAATTCTTATTTGTTCCAGATTGTTTGTAACTATCCAAATAAATTTTGTTGTTGTTGTTCTTGGTTTATTATTAAAGTAGTTGGTTTTGATTTTGCTTTTTAAGTTTATTTTGTCCTAGATGTTTATCAAGAGTTGACTGTAATATGTTGTTGTTTTGTGTCTTCAAGTTGCTTGCAACTCATAGCAACCCTATCTATAACAGCCCTAAACTCTGCTCTGTCCTGTGCCAATTGCACTATCTCCTATACACCCATCCTGATTACCCCAGTCAGTGAATCAATCCACCTCATAGAGGGCCTTCCCCTCCTGAGCTGTCCATCCACCTTCCCCAAAATGATGTCTTTCTCCAAGGACATGTCCAAAGTTTGTCAGACAAAGCCTCAGAATCCTTGCCTCCAAGGAGCAGCCCAGTTTAACCCACTCTAGGATGAATCTGTTTGTTTTCTTAGCAGTCCGTGGTACACTCAATACTCTTCTCCAGCACAGCTCAAAGGCATCAACTCTCCTTCTATCCTCCGTAGTCATTGCCCAACTCTCTGACGCATACCAAGTGGTTGCAAAGTCTGTATCAGACGCACCTTAGTCTCCAGAGAGACACCATTGCTCTTCAGTACTTTGGAGAGGTCCCTAACAGCAGACTTTCCCATCTCAATAAGTCTTTTAATTTTCTTTTATTTTTTCTTTTCTTTTTTCTTACTCCCAAATGACTCTTAATATGTTACCTATTAAATCTGCTGTCAAAAATGCATAGAATTAATGCTCTTTGTCTTATACTATGAGGTATTTTCCCATGAACTTTTTATAAAAACTCAATGTACAATAATAAAAAGGCAAAGAAATTACTGACAAATCAAAGCTTGCATGTAAGAAATTTTAATATACATTTAATACCTAATGGAGGACAACCATCTGGCCAACTGACTGGAAGAGATCTGTATTTGTTCCAATTCCAAAGAAAAGTGATCCAACAGAGTGTGGAAATTCTCAAACAATATCATTGATATCACATGCAAGCAAGATTCTGCTGAAGATCATCCAAAACGACTAGAACAGCACATCAACAGAGAACTCCCAGAATTGCAGGCTGGATTTAGAAGAGGCCATGGTACTAGGAATATTATAGCTAATGTCACATGGATTATAGCTGAAAGCAGAGAATACCAGAGGAATGTTTAACTGTGTTTCATTGACTATGCAAAGGCATTTGACTGTGTGGATCATAACAAACTGTGACTGACTTGAGAAGAATGGGAATCCTAGAACACTTGATTGTCCTCATGTAAAACTTATACTTGGACCAGGAGGAAGTTGTTAGAACAGGGCAAGGAAACACTGCATTGTTCAAAATTGGGAAGGATGTGCGTCAAGGATGT